TGAGTATGCCAAGAAGAGACATGCTCGTGTAAGAGGCGGCGAGGCGGCTGCGGCTGCGGGCGGCCTTCTCGCCAAAGACACGCCACGCGGAGGCGTGCGGGGCGTCTAGAAGAGGCGCAGGGTGCCTCGCAAAGGCGGCGAGCGCATGTATGGCGTGCGGGAGAGCTCGCTTAGGTGGAGCGTCGTGCTCGATCGCCTCGAGCAGCCAGCTGCCTCTGGTTTGCGTCGCGCGCCACACGGCGGCAAGTCGCGAGCAATTAAGCGCCCCGAGGGCGCTTGAGAGGGTGTGTGCGTGGCTGAGGGGCGCGCTAGAGCGGCACGGTGAGCCCTAGCAAGGCGCGGGGCGCGCTCGAGCGGGCGGCCGCTACGAACTCTGAGCATGCCGAGACGAGGCATGCGAGTGTGAGAGGCGGCGAGGGGGCTGCGGCTGCAGGCGGCCGTCTCGCCAAAGGCACGCCACGCGGGGGCGTGCGGTGCGTCTGGAGGAGGCGCAAGGCGCCTCGCAACGTCAGCCGGCGCTAGCAATGAGCCCTAGCGAGACTGGGGCGCGCTCGAGCGGGCGGCCGCTATGAATCGGTATGCCAAGAAGACAGAGGCGTGCCCGTGTATAGGAGGCGGCGTGGCGGCTGCGGCTGCGGGCGGCCGTCTCGCCAAAGGCACGCCACGCCGGGGCGTGCGGTGCGTATGGAGGAGGCGCAGGGCGCCTCGCGAAGGCGGCGAGCGCATGTGTGGCGCCTCGAGAGGCAGCTCGACACAGCGAAAGTAGAGTGTCGTGCTAGAGCGACTCGAGCAGCTGCCTCTGGTTTGCGTCGCGCGCCACACGGCGGCAGGTCGCGAGCAACGAAGCGCCCCGAGGGCACTTGAGAGGGTGTCTGCGCGGCCGAGGGGCGCGCTAGAGCGGCACGGTGAGCCCTAGCAAGGCGTGGGGCGCGCTCGAGCGGGCGGTCACCATGAATGTCCGAGTATGCCAAGAAGAGGCATGCTCGTGTAAGAGGCGGCGAGGCGGCTGCGGCTGCAGGCGGCCGTCTCGCCAATGGCACGCCACGCGGGGGCGTGCGGTGCGTATGGAGGAGGCGCAGGGCGCCTCGCGAAGGCGGCGAGCGCATGTGTGGCGCGCCGAGGGGCCGCTCAGCGCGGCGGAGTAGAGCGTTGCGCTCGATAGACTCGAGCAGCTGCCTCTGGTTTGCGTCGCGTGCCACACGGCGGCAAGTCGCGAGCAATTAAGCGCCCCGAGGGCACTGGAGAGGGTGTCTGCGCGGCCGAGGGGCACGCTAGCGCGGCACGGTGAGCCCTAGCAAGGCGCGGGGCGCGCTCGAGCGGGCGGCCGCTACGAACTCTGAGCATGCCGAGACGAGGCATGCTCGTGTAAGAGGCGGCGAGGGGGCTGCGGCTGCAGGCGGCCGTCTCGCCAATGGCACGCCACGCGGGGGCGTCCGGTGCGCCTGGGGGAGGCGCAGGACGCCTCGCGAAGGCGGCGAGCGCATGCAGAGCGCCTCGAGAG